AGAGAGAGAGAGAGAGAGAGAGAGCGAGAGAAAGAGAGAGATTGAGAGAACGAGTGAGTGAGTATGAGTAAATGGGTGAATGAGTCACCCATTGAGCTGCATTGCGGTGACAGGAGCTGAGGACACACAAGCCATCAGAGGTACAGTTGGTATAGTAGATAGTAGATCATATGGTCGATTTTAAGGACAAGCGGGCTAACCCAGATTTCGGGGGTTTCCAGAAATCTTGATCGACACCAAAAGTGGGCAGTGCCCTACCTATAGGAGAAGTTTGGTTTCATTGGTGTGTATAATATTTATTTGGTTAAAAAGAAAACTCTCCTTGTCTTTTAAAGACACTGAACAAGGGGCGAAAACTTTACCTTCGATTTTCTCAAAACAGCATTTTTGGGGGACAGCCCCCTTGTGCTTTAAAAGCAACCTGACAGAGAAAGGAGATATGATAGGAAATAGTTGGTTATGTCGGGATGAGAATGAGACAGACACATGGGTGTCATGGCGGGTTGCGTGACAGACACACTGCACAGTCAGCACTTTGTCACACATGGCAGTACTATTGTTGTACTGTCACGGTGTGTGTGTGTGTGTGTGTGTGTGTGTGTGTGTGTGTGTTCACGTGCTATAGTGTGTTCTTCTGTAAACTTGCCAACACTATTTTTAAATTAGAGATGGGCTCCTGTATAATTTGGGTTTCTCACTAGCGTATGTTTTATTTAGTTGCAATAACTTCTGTTTTGAAATGTTTTGTTTCTGCTTTGAGTTTTGACAAAGGTGCTTAAAAAAAAATGCACTTTATTTTATGATGAATGAGAGCATTCAATGTGATTTATTTTCCACATCTGTGGTTAGAGATTATTACATGTTATAGTGCCCGCCATTTGATTTGCACTGATCTGTTACTATTATTCTATTAATGATAGCACATGTGTTTATTCCACCCCTTGACACCCTTCATGCATATTCCTACCCTCGACCAATTTATCCCTGTGCTATATGTATAAGAATTCAGGCTCTTGCTTCAACAGTACATTTTTGAAGTAAAGATTTTTGTGTCTCTGAAGGATCACCCTACCCTTCCATTTAAAATGAATTCTGTTTGCTCTGAAATGGAGTGTTAGAGAAACTTTGGTTTATTTCTAATCGTATTGTATAATGTGTATGCATGTATTCTCCATCTTCTGTGTATACCTACCAGAGTTGGTCAACAGCGGTACTGGTACGTTAGAATGCTAAGGTTGAAAAAGTGATCAATGTTATTTATATACTCTTTGATCCGTGTACAGTTGTGTAAACCATTACTATGTTGACATACGATACTCATTAAATTTGGAGACAAATGAATGACTACCTTTTCTTTCTTACATTTTCAAAATCACTGAAAATGTGCTTTTTGGTCAAGAACAGATATAAATTAAATACTTTTGCCTTTTTTTTCACTTTTTATCAAAGAGAAGAGGTGACACCATGTAAAAATTCATGCAAGTTAAATTGAGGCTTTCCAAAGGTCAATATTTGTCCACAACATACATAGATATAGAGATATCCACAGTGGTCAGTTTTGAGAAATTACCTGAGAAAAAGATTCAGTTTTAATCTCTTGCTACGTAGCAACATTCGACACCAAGATTATAATTTATAATGCTTGAGTTTATTTTGTCAGTCATAATGAAGCACTCACAGTAATGAAGTAATGTCATTTTGAGTCAAAGTATCAGCAAAAAGACTTTAAAGAAGCACTAAGATGTTCATTGCATCTCAGAAATACTGTCTTTGAAAAAGAAATGAAAGTACCCGCTTTGCATGAAATTGCATAGTCATAATATCACAAAGCAGAAATTGTACAAGCTTGTTTTAACCCTATCCGTATGTCGTGTTTTACTATTGTATAAATACGACCTGGGAAACTCTGTGCCACCACTTCCAAAGAGAAAATTTACTCGTTAATGCGATCCATACGCTTTGCATAGCAGTCTGTCAAATTGATTTTTTAAAGAAATACTGAAAGTTTCAAAAAAGAGAACTTTGTACTAGAGGTATTCTAAAATGTGAAGAATACAACCTTGGGGTACAAAATGACTCCAGGGCGTATGGATAGGGTTAAGTAGGTCTCTATATTTAATTTTAAACACTATAAATATTGTAATATATTTGTAGCTAAGCAATATCAAGTGGAGTTTAACAAGCTTGAGCAAACAAGTAAGATGAATCATAATGATAAACATTATATTCTTGAAAATCAATGAACATAATTCCTATAAGTTAGCGTGGACCAACATGTGTAGATTCAAAACATTTTCAAAGAAACCAACAAATCTTGGTTAAAATTATGTAGTAAGTATTTCGTAATAAAATTAACAACCATGTACAATACAACAAAGACAAAAGGCGAAGAGTGTGACTATATATATATATATATATATATATATATATATATATACGTTCTCAACATCAACAGTTTCAACAAATGGGGGATAGTTTGAAGCAAGGGGGCATATAGGACCAGTCATTATTGAATGCAAATTCGAGCTTAAAAAGAAATCTGATGTATGTCTTTCTGTCAGTTTAACATTCTGTCAGTAGGCGGGTGGTTAGCGAGTGTCATTGTCATTAGTAGGTTTTACTTTTTATGGAAATCTCCCTCTGTTGTCTCTCTGTGTGTTACTTTTTACTTCAGCACTGATGGACCGTTATCTTGGCGATGTGTTTCCTCATCACTCTAAGTAAACAAAAGTTAACCATAGACTACAATGAACGGCTTTCTCGATAGAAATTGGTTATTTTAGGACCAAACTCCGCCAAAGCACCCGCAAACCACCAACTAGGAATCCTGCACTCCACCAAAGCATGGAGTTAGGTCCGTCTGTCCTATCAAACATCTGGCGTCTTTATCTCGCCTTCTTCCTTTGTGTTTGCTGCTCTCTTGTAACACCTCTAATCTTCGGCCCCTGTATGACCTTATTGTGTTGCAAGTGCCATAAAACTCTTACTAAAACAAAAAGGAAAGGTTCCGAAAACACAGTTTTGCTGGACCACCAGTTGATAGGTCAGTGTGAAAGAGAACACAAATAATTACAGATAAACTGGCCAGAGGAACATTATGTATAGATTACTATGCCAATCCTTCGACCAGGATGTAGCGTATCATTGAAACCATTCCAGTTTGAAAGTTTCGCTCCCTTAGGCGGGGCAACGCACTGATTATGCCTAACATTACTAATTTGTTCTCGCTCATCTGAGAATGTAAACCAACATAAGTATTCAGTTCAGGGCGCGTCACAGCTATCAATGTTATCGGTATTCTCATAAATAACTATAATTACAATGTACCTCGTTTATTTTCCAAGAAACTATCCTGCATAAAGTTTCTTTAGGGCATGCCCGTCCTATTGTTTTATTGTCAAACCGGCAAAGTTAATGTACAAAAGTTTATTTAATGTGAAGATGGCAAAAATCGTTTCTTTTTTTTTTTGTACAAAGAGGAGCGAGTTGAGGTGTCCGTTCTTACAGCGAGGTAAATCTTCTTTTGCGCATGATGTCACGACAACCCCATGTTGGCTCTACAGAGGGTGGAGACCCCGGATTCGCCAAATAGATCATGTCAGTACTGAATGGAGACCTCAAAAACACATTTACCCAAAGATGGACAACAGTGGTGCATGAACGATAGAAAATGATTGGTAACTTTATAGAAAGTTAGAGTTTTGAGTTATTGAGATGTACAGCCATGCTGGTAAGAACAAAATACTTCTGAATAGTGAATAGCAATGTTAAATTCAAGTTTCAGCCTTAGATAACGCGGATCCATTTCCCTCGATAACATTCCGACTTTCCACAATGGCAATGCATTTGGCAACATTCCCCAAAAGTTGTTGCTTTAGGAGAACGTTTTCAAATTGTATAAATCATTAACTTTGGGGCAAGCCCTGGTTTCTCAATTTTTCAGAATTAAAACCTTAATTTTGACTTCGGCGCAGCGGAACACTGCGGATGGAAGCCAAACCCAGGCAATGTAAACATACAAAAGGAGCAGTTCCAACAGTTTGAGCATGCGTGGGACAACATCCTTGTAATATGTTCAAAAGTCATCATTGCCAAAAACTAGGAGAGTGCTTGATTGTACAGCCAATCAATATCATATTCTAAATATACGACATGTACTTGCATAGATATATGCTATATGTGTATATCCAGGGATGATAGAATTTCTACCCTTTCAACACGTGACGATACCATCAATAACATTTGGCCACTTGGTTGATTTTTTAAACTGATTCACGATCATTTCAAACACGTTATTGTACGTGTACAGTGTACTTGATTCCAAAAGGAATACACAACATCCACCAATCCGTGGTCTTGATGAGATTATATCACCCCAAGCACCATCAGGACAAACCATTCACCATATTCGAAAGAAGTGTATAGGGCCCAACTTGGTTTCGGTATGGTGACTCTCAGCCAGGCGTCTGAGCTCCAAGAGAAGGGTGCTTGGGCTTGGCCCAGAGGTCAGAGAACTTTTGAAAGTGAAAGTGAAAATAACAACAGTAAAGAAGACTATCATACTTCAGAGTCTTCGTAAGATGGCGGCGGGCACGTAGGCAGTAAATGATCGTCTGATGATACGAGTTCAACGTGACCACGACAGGAAGACCCGGCGTGTGCGCCTGGACTGTGCGACCGTTGTGCGCTGGACATAGATTGTGACACAGCAGCAGCCGTGGCAGATTTGTTGTCTGGGTGGAGGGAATAACCCCCGGCCATGACCTCGTCATATGAAGGAGGGGGGAGTGTCTGTGATGGCCCTGACCCTGACCCTTCATCTCGTCTCGGCGACAAGTTTTCGTAGGCTGGGGCCGGGTCTGTGATAGAAATAGTGAAGATGTCATCATTGTTTGGCAAATCAAGCACGCGTAGGGAGATGGAACCATTTGTTGACGCCCGATCACTGTCTGTCAGAGACTGCGTCTCTTCACCCCTGTCGTGCACACGACTCGGTGTTGTTGTAGTTGTAGCGCTAATGACGATTTCCTGACGAGGATCTCGTGGCTGGCGCTCAAAGCAAGCGTGAAAGGCCGATGAAAACCGATTACAATTACACCTGTTCATTGATTCACAAGGTCCACTCCCCCTTTTGATGTAGGCGGCGGCGTAGAACAGAGCGATGGAGATTGGGACCATATAGACTGTCGCCATCACATAGTCATAACACTTGGACAAACGTGAGTCAGGGTACCTGGTATCACTGCTGTAGTTTTCACTGTAGTACCACAGACCGATTCGGTTCAGGATGGCTGTGGTAGAATGACATGTTTATTTTGGTTAATGAAGAACTTCAAGGACAAAACATCAAGTGCTACGAAAAAGTAAGACCGTACACATGTACCATGGTATCCACTTATATGGAAGTCATTTGCTTTTGATCACTGATTGTCACTGCTTTCTTCCTCTAAGTCTATCCTGTTCTTATTTCTCTCCCATACCCATCCATAACCTCCACCCTTAAAAAATACTTTTAAAATCCCAGTTACCGGCACACAGTTTAACATTTTAATCTGATCACTGACCTAAGCCAGGCCATGCTGTGAACTGTGTGGCTGTAACCAACTTGTGTTTCACGCGCTCGTTTGACCTTACTCAATTACGAGCGCCGAAAAACTCTTGATAAACTATACTGAAGTAAACGAGACAAAGCTGGGATCTGCTCTTTGCGTACGGGATAGTATTGCTGATATTCACGGCAATACGCTATCTATGTAACTGCTGTTATTTCCATCTAAGACGGGACTTCTGTTCTTTACGGTTACTACAATGAGGCAACTTCTAATACAGGATGAGTCGAAATTATATAACACTAATATTGGAGAAATCATTTTATTCAGAATTTACTGAATACTCTTTACCTTGTCACCAGCATAACCAATCCACACACAACTCCCCCCCGAGAAATACCGCACAATTTAGTGCTTACCAAAATTTCGTGGGAAATAGGCTACTTGATACGACACTTTGTATTCTCTCACTGAGTTAGTCCAGTACTTGTGTTGACTTAATTTAGACTCATTGTGTACTTGTATTTCCCTAATGTTTGCTGTGCGCACACATAAAGGGAACCCCATACTGTACTGACATATATATATTAGATCTATATATGTATGTGTGTGTGTGCGTGTGTGTGTGTGTGTGTGTGTGTGTGTGTGTGTGTGTGTGTGTGTGTGTGAATCATCTTGGTGAAATCAGGCGCTCGTCAAAATAAATAAAATCGGAGAAAAAGGCATTTTGCCATCGTTTTGACAATTTTTATAGTTTTTCTTCTTTGGATCAACCCCTTTTATGTCCATATAAAAACACATTTCCATGTAAATTTGACTGAAAAACATTGATTAAAGGAACAGAATATGTCATTTTTCAATTTTCAAGGACTCTTTAGCTATTGGAGTTACGAAACTTTGGCTGCCATTTTCTCGCTTATTTCACCACTGAAACCAGCGACCTCAACTCCTTCAATCGCAAATACCTAGACTTCTATTCAAGACCGATGGGTATTTCTTTCATTGAAAGCAAGGCAAAATGAACAAGCTTTCAGATGGTACAAAAAACTCCACATGCCCAAAAATTGACTAGTGCCTGATTCCACCAAGTCGTGACACACATACACACACACACACACACACACACACACACACACACACACACACACACACACACACACACACACACACACACACATATATATATATATATATATATATATATATATATATATATATATATATATATATATATATATATATATATATATATATATATATATATATATATATATATATAAAAATATACACATGTATATCTATCTGTTTCTTCCCAATTCTAAACCCTCGTACACTGTATTGGTTTTAATTTTGACACCTCCCACCAGCCAGCCCAGAAAAAATCCCAAACAAATCAACAACTGAAGAACAAAACAGCAACACATGCAACAGAAAACAGATACAAAAATAAACACATACATGTATATTCTTTTATTTTTTATATTTTTTTCCGAAATAAAATATTTTTACACAATAATCTAGTTACAGAAGCAAATTAAAATTTGAAGCAAATGAAACAATAAAGAAAGGGAGAGAGATTCTGCCAAGCAGGCCTCGAATTGAGTAACACCACAACTTGGAGGAACTATAATAGGAGAGGCCACGAGTCGCGTAACGTGAAGCCGCTGCAGACGACGGTCGGCCATGTTTGTGAGATCAGCTCAGTTCTCTCAGTTGTAAACTTAGT